CGGTCTCTCCCTTCTGCCCTAGGTTGGCCTTGGCATATTGTCCTCTAGATAGGAGCCTTGGCATGCTTTATAGCTAAAACCAGGGGCTAGCCTGTTATAAATAAATACTTAATTTAAAAAAAAGTCTCCCCTAGCTAGCTGGGGATGACCAAGGTAAGGGTGCATAAATGCTGAAGTTAACAATATGCAGGGTGTGTCTTGGAGACCTTTGTCATAATGAGACAACCTAGGAAGAGTAAGTATTCCTGCTTATCCTGCCTGGTGAAACAAACAAACAAGGCTCAACAAAATTAACTGCGGTTTTTTCAGACAAGGAATTGAAGTTTCACTGCTAGTTGGTTAGAGCGCCCTCCTGTGTCTCCATATTAAAACAATGTGAGACAATCTTAGCATTAGAATGCAGAGTAGGAATGCCGTTAGCCTTCTTCATACTTCCAGGGGAGTCTTCAGCAGCAAGATTTTCGGTAGAAACTTCTGTTGGGCTGCAGCCAAGATTGCAAGGGCTACTACGGTAAAGGACTCTACTCATTCATTTAGGGCAGCCAGCGTTTGAAGGCCTGTTAGAGGAGAGAATCCGCACGTGTGCCAAGAGCCCACTTAACCCCCAGCCTCGCTTGCATAGGTCCCCAATTTAACCTCAATGAACTGACTGCACTGGAATCTAGTGAGGCTCATATCACTCGATGGTGCCAGAAAGGACCAGCTCTACTTACCTGGTGCGGCAGCAGAGTCACCATTAGATTAGTGTACAGAGAGGTTCAGACTGCCCTCCTTCACTGAGTCCTAGTTGGGTTGCTTGGCTCTGCGGATTCCAGCTGCTACTTGGTGCCCCAATAATGAGTTCTTTCACACAAATTATCCAGAGCTGTTTATATTACTTACAACTTAGAAAATGGCTTGCTCATCTGGTGTTTATGGAGCAGCTCCTAAAAAGAAACACAGGACTGGGGGATTCGGAATGTCCTCAACCTCCCGTAGCCACAACGTGAATATAGAGGTATTCCCAGAAATCTAGATCACAGCTGTGTTAGTGAGCATACACAGCCTGCCTTAAACAGCAGGTTAATTTTGCAGTTCTGGGAACTATAAGTCTGGGATCAGTGTAGTAACATTGTCCAGTTCTAGTGAGAGTGACTACCTTCTTTCTCACTGTGTTCTCACAGGCATAGAGAGAGTGCTAGTGTCTCCTTTAACAACCGCCCTAATCTCATAATAGGTCCCACCTCAAGACATCATCAAAATGTAACTACCTCTCAAAGGCCCCAACCCCTAACACTGGGACTTCAACAGATCAGTTTGGAGGGGACATGATTTAGTCCAAAGTGTCATGTACATAATCTTGCATTCTTTCTAGTACTTAAATTATAAAGGTAAAAAAAAGAAAGAAAGAAATACTTGATGTTAATTTTAGCAATGTATTTTATGCCAATACATTCAAGATATTATTTCAAAATTGTTTCAAGGGCTGCAGAGATAGCTCAGTCAGTAAATGCCTGCCATGCCAGTGTGAGAGTACACAAGTTCAATCACCATCACCCGCTTAAAAGTTAGATCCCGCAATGAATTGTGTGATCCCAGTACTGGGAAGATAGAGACAGGAGACTCTCTGTGGCTCACTATCTACTCAAATCAGCAATCTCTAAATTCAGTGAGCAACTTTTGTCTCAGAATATAAAGTGAAGGACAACAGAGGAAGAAACCAGATGTTGACCTCTGACGACCCCACCACACACACACCACAAATTATTCCAACATGGTGCTGATATGAAAAATCATTAACGGAACATTTTAAATTCTTGTTTTGAAATCCCAACTAGTTCGATAGTCAACGGCTACCACGTTAGACAGACAGCTCTGTGGTTTCAAAACTAAACCCAATCTGAGAGATTTGTCAAGCGAGTCATTTCCCTTTACAGATAATGGAATGCAGACCCAGCCAGATTAGCTGGTTGAAAAGGCAGGGATGGATCTAAGCTTGATAATCCCTGTGCTTGGAAAGCTGAGGCAGGAGGAGCCTTGGCTCAAGGCCAGGCTGTAACACACAGTGAATTTCAAAGCAGCCTGGGCTCTATGGGGTGACACTGTCTCACCGAAGTGAAAAGGAAAAGAAAGAAAGGGTAATAGTGGCTAGGACAACCAGACTTTATAGAAAGCCTGGAATAAAGCTGCACCGTTGTTTCATAAAAATAAGAAAACTCACAAATATGACCCCATCAAATATTAAACACAGCATTGTGCTAGATATCATAGGAAACTCAAAAGAGATGAAAATATACTCCATGGCTTACTCAAAGTTCAGAGAAGAGAAAAATAAAAAAAACATATGTAAATGGGGCTGGTAGACAAGACTATGGCTGAAGCTGAGGCTCACAGAGACCTTGATAGATGGGCTTGTGTCCCAACCCCTGGCTCTGGGATCTTCCTACATTATTTATTGCCTGCAAAATTAGGAATGCCAGTGCCACAGTTAGGTCATGAGAGTGGCATCTGACTAATAAATAGAGTGACACTCCCCTCCACAAAGTAAAATGCCAGATGCTTCCAACCCCCAAAGTTTCCATCAGCAACAACACTTCATATAGAAGAGGTGAACTGGCCCAAGGTGGTCCGGTATGTGGCCCTAGGGTGTTTACATGGAATAAATGTGGAAAAACTGAGTAAGTAAAGCAAGCAGAGTCTGGCTTTTTTTTTTTTCTTTTTTTCTTTTTTCCTTTTAACTGTAGTATTTCTCGGGAGTATTCATATGCTTGCAGCCATCCTATGATTTCAGCTTCAAGATCTGGGTCCTTAGTGCTCTCCACAATCCAGTGGCCCACAACCATTGTATGAAAAACCTCGGATGGCATCATCTCACCTCACATCACACTCCTCTTTTCTCTGCTTCTTGCCACGTGGTTTTTCCAGCTCCTCTGGTTCTATCCAGGCCAGTGCTAGCAAGTGAAGTAAGTCCATGGAACTTACTTCAGTTTGTAAGTATGCATTATTTATTTGCCTATTTGAGTGATGTCCATCCCCCTCCCCAGGAAACATTCCATGAAAGCAGCAGTTGGGATTGGTTCTGCTTATTATTTCCACAAACTCCAGCACAAAGCCCAACACACAAAAAGAGCTCATTTAATATTCGTTGAATGAATCCGAAAATGAAATATATTGTGACTCTCTGAGACAGGGAGAGATTATTCAGCCTTTGCTAAATTTGATCTGAGCACTCATGCCATGAAGGGTTTATGGAGGGACCAGAATTGTATGGGAACAAACACAGTTTGGAAAGCACAGAGTCAGTAACTGAAGGGAAATGAGCCTAAATCCCAAT